TGGGCACGGCATGTTTGAGTGGGAATCTACTCTTCGAATCGTTTCTATCCACTTGATTCCGCTTGTATACTTGCTACCTGATCATCTGATCCCAGCACGAGCTCTACACCTTGGCGTTTGGTTTCTGCACCCATTCTCAACCCATGGGACCCATCCGTGGCCGACGTCGCTGGGTTCGAAAAAAAACGGTGAGGTTGGCGACCCAGCAAGCACCAAACGGTTACTGTAGACTGTTGATTCTTAATAGCTACAGCCCAGCTCGTTTTTGGGTGGGGAACTCTATCAACATCAACAGTCCGACCTTCCAAGTCCGGTTTTTGGACACCCCGAATCACCACTCAGAGGCTATTTCTAGACACCTCTAAGAGGCTAGGTCCTGGTCTACATCAACAGTCATCCCGTGCTCGGCAAACTCCCCACGTCACAGTCCGAGGCACGAAGTACTGCAGGCCAGGAAAGCGTGCCTCACATCGGAAATCATCCATTCTCCCAGTGGCGCAGTCTGGTTGGCTTGGGAAAATGGATCCAGACCTCTTTGGCCGATGTTTCCATGGATTCATGACTTCTGCTCTCCAAAAGCTGCTGACCAACCTCCACGGCGCGGAACCAACGGACCTGGACATCGGACCCGGAAATCGGCCCCGCCCCAGCGGCCCCGGACGCCCTCCAAAGGCACGAAGTCCGAGAACTGGTGCCAGTAGCGCATGGCGTCAAAGCGAAAGCCCCGGCGCAGCCACCAGCCTAGCGCAGCCAGCTCAGGCGTTGGCGGGTGACCGGCGACCGGGCTGCATCGGTCATATCATCAATGGAGAAGTCTTGATTAGATCAGACCACCACATCATTTGGGAGAATTTTGCAGTGTCAAACCGCTTGATGGTGCGACCAAGCGCCTCACTTTCGCACACATCTCGAACTCAGATTCGCACGCACGAGATCAACAAAAAACAAGAATAAGTATCTAAAAAAATAAATATATGTCAGGGGATCCTGGGAAAAAAATGAATCAAAAGAAGGTAAACGGACCCAAACGTGCAAAAGGGAAAAGCTAATATTCCAGTCGCGGGCGAGGGATGCCCTGTACCTCTAGCGTTCATGACTGAGATTGACCCGGCCATCTTCGGTGAGCGATGCATATTTGGGGGTCAACATCTTCCATACGAGGTTTATTCAGGCTACCTGACACACCCCTTAGTCGTGGATCTTCCTTAGGCACACTCTGTGTAAAGGTCCAGGTATGCCTCTGTGTGGGGTCCAATACACTCACCCGCACGCCATCCCCCACCGCCGTGCTCACCACCAACTTGGGCCCCTACGCCGTGCCTCCCTTGCGCATGCGCGTCCAATCATTGGAGTCACGCGTGGACATCTGAAAGGGCGTATAGGGATGCCATGGTTGGCCTCCATCCGGGCCAGTCGCATTTGGACCGAGCAAGGGTACTGAATGCCCCCGATTCCAGGTCCGTCATCATGGGAAAATGGCCATGTTGCAAAAATCGGTTGTTGCTACGTCAGGGGTTCTCAAATGCAACCTATAATGGTTAAAAAAATAACAAGTCCCCTCGTCCTGAACCGTGTACAGTAGGATATATACACTCCGACTGACTCACTAACAGTCACTAACATGGAAGTGGAAAATGCCTCCGTGGAATTCTACTTTCCTTTACGAACAGGGGGGGTCCACTTCCATGTGATGTGTTTGTCGGAGTGCGTCATCCCAAAGTGCTTTTGCCATCCGAAACAGGCAAGCACCAACAGAATCTCACAGGCCTCAACCACCTCAACCATCGAACTTGGGAACACGTGTGCCAAGCATCACAGGCACCTCCTTTCACTCGTGACATGCTCGGCTGAGCACTGCCATCTCCGTGGTGCGCGCGCCGCACCACCCCCATTGAGGTGGCCGAATCCTGCAAAAAATGACACACGGAGTTGGCGGCCACAAAGATGCTAACGTTGACCGATTGATTTGAAAAGAACATATGGAGTGAGATGTAAAACCGCTCTGGTAGGAGAGTTTTATTGATCAACAACAATACGTACAGGGGAAGGTTGTGTATAGCAAAGTTCCCAATAGCGGAACAGCTGCCGAAAAATGTATATCAGATTTCATCGGAACACATTCCAATGTGCAACAAGGAAAGGTCCTGGTCGGTTTCATTGGCAGCCACCATCAAAAAGTACTTCCTTGGATCGTTCGCCCAACCCAACACGGATGCACGACAGGACGCCCCCGCGGGGTGGAAAACAAGAGCCATGGCTGGACCAAACATGAGCCATCAACGGGGCGCGACCCCACCAACTGCCATGAAGCCATAGAGTCTGTTTTTGTTGTACATCCTGGCCTTCAATGCATAGCTCCCTATCGGACCTAGTTATGGCCTCTCTCTCTCTTATATATTCAGAATGTTAAAACAATATAATATCTATATCTATATATACCAGCAGTCACAAAGGGGTGCTTAATGGAGGTCAGGGGTGCCCAGAACATCCACTCACTTGGTGACTAAACACCACCCCTTTGTGGCTCCTGGTATATATATACATATAGTGGTGCTTTCACGACTGCTAACCCGTCCAAAGGGCTGATCTTCCATCAGTCCTGCGCTGCGAAGCGGTTTCGTTCGCTGCCGGGCGAGGGCGAGGGCGAGGGCGACCGAACGCGGTGAGTGCCTGCGTGAGACGCAGCGACCAAAAGGGGGTGTGGGGCGAACACCAAGGGGGAGACCGGCACCAGGCGTTCCGACGTCGAAGTCGAACAGATCGTCGAGTCTGGCCCCGGGGCCCCCCCCATTCAAATGCACACCCACATCGCATGGATGGCATGGCCCCCAAAGGCTGACGAGCCTTGTTACCAACAGGGTGGCAACTCCACTTCCACGTGATGTGTTCGTAGGCGAATACTTTTTTCTGACCATGTTGGAGAAGTTGTTAGAATGGTGGAAGGAAGTGAACTTGCGCACTGTAGAGGCCATTGTGGCAGTGAAGTTGTGGAAGGTGAGGCTTTTGCGCTATAAAAACGATCTCAATGGGCCGTTGGGAGGCTAAAAGACCTCCACAAACAATCGCCCCATTCGGAAAAGCCAACGAATTGAAGCGTTTCAACGACCAAAGCACCAGGGGGGCCCCTTGGATCGGTCGCCCCGCCCCGGTCACCCCGTCCTAACGTGGCTTCAGCCATGCTTTGGGCCGTCGCCAGGTCCGGGGCGGTGACAATCCGCCGAAGAGTCTGAACCTGGGCTGCCGAAGGGGAGGACAACGCGTGCCACGTGCGCCGGTCAACGGACGGAGGTTCTGGTGGGAGGTTCTGGAAGTTTTAAAGAAACCGCAGGGCTCTGGCCGGATCCTCCTGTTCTTTGGGCTTTTGGAGGGTTTTGGGAGATCCCTCAGAAGTGATGTGGCGATCCAAGCCATGAGAATGCGTCATGAAATCCAGCACGGAGGATCCACATAGAACATCTTCCTGTGAAATTTAGATCTGGCTGCCCAGGCGCCCTTCATTTCAAGTCGCCTACCGTTCCAAGAACTCATGCACCGGAGGTGAATCTCCAACGACTTCTTGTACTTCTCAGAGCTGAGAATTTCTTCCATCGTATGTCTCAAAGCTTCCATGATCTCCCATCTGGACCGATGTATGGATGAAAGGAAATAAACCAAAATCCATTGGCTTGGGGGGTTACATGGTACTCCAAATTGGGTGGGCTTTATGAATCAAGAGTCTTCCAGAATCTTCCAGAATACTTTTTCCCAGACCACTTCCCAAGGTCGCTTCGCCCAGCCACTCCCACTCTCAGCCACTCCCCTACCTGCCCACCGCGCGGCTCCACCGCTCCACCCCGCTGAGCCCTCCCGGCGGCCGCGCTCCGCGCCGCCTTGGCCGCGCTGAGGCCCCACTGAGGGGTCGGGGCGCCCGACTCCGCGGCGCCCGACTCCGCGTCCTGCGCGGTCCAACCGGTCAGGTCAAACGACGTCAACACCTTCGTTCGCTCCAGTCAGGCATGAACATGAGGCAAGAGCGATGCAAGCGTCGTACCTGAAATGAGGAATGAATTGTAGGGGTCTTCAACTGCCCACACAAAGAGAGAGAGAGAGAGAGAGAGGTTCCAGTAGATTGTCCTGTGGAGCTATCCTGTGAAGCAATTTCAAGTTAGAGAAGGTTCAAAGCGCGTGCTGTCAATCTTAAATGGGCTAAGAGCGACCCTGTGGCCTCCAAATGTGTACGACGGTGTTTTCCTACAGATGGACATGGCCATGTTCAGCTCGACTTGAAATTGAATGGACATTTGATTCACCACCTCTGTGGTCGTTCAGCTCTTAAAATAGCCAAGTTGGTCACAATTTATTCGCCATTCTCGCCGGTGCTGCACATCCACTGAGCCTCCTCGCCAGCCCTGCGCAGCTTTCATTCGAAGATCGTAGAAGTGGATCACATGGCCCCCCCCGTTGGGGACAGAACCGAGCTGCTGGGTCTACCCCCCCTTCGTGGGTAGACCGCAGCTCACCATCGGAAGAGCTGGGTCCCAGGCAATGACCTGCAGGGCTTGGGGGACCAAAGAGACCAGTCTACCCAGCTAGGGCTGGAAGTGGATCCTGCCATATTCTCCCATAGGTTAAAATACCTCTGGTGGCCCCCAGAAGCCTTCATCTTCAGATCCACCGACCCAGACCGCGGCAGGAAGGGCCGTGCTCGTCCGAGCGCCCAAACGTCCGTCCTCGAACTCGCAGAAGGGTGGCTCGTGGTTGGGCATGATGGCTTGATACCAGCCTGGTTGGAACAGCTTTCAGCGTAGCAGGCGGGGCCTAAAGCAGAGAGCAGGAGGCCTGTGGGAGTGCTGGACGCTCCCGCGGACCTCCCGCATCGCTGTGACTCGAATGTCGTCGATATCCGATATGGCTTCAGCGTCTGGGGCTCATGGTGGTACATCTCACAAGATTGAAATATGACTATAACACTGGATGTGCATATTCTTTCTCTCTCCCTCTCTCTCTCTCTCTCCACTTCCCTTTAGCCATTCTCTCAGCATTCGCCTTTGTGCGCTATAAGCTGCCAAAATATCGGCCCGTTTTATTCGCACATTTTTTCTCGGGAAGACGAAGACAAGATGATCTACAGATGTGCCTTGATGCCTTAGGTATGCAAGCTATATCTATTGATATTATATACCATGCCGAAGCTGGCGATTTATGCAACCCCGACACTTTCGACCGTTTCAAAAAAGCAATTGAGCAAGGCATAGTTTGCGGTTTCCTTGTAGGACCGCCCTGCGAAACGTGGAGCAGGGCAAGGGGAAAGCAACTCTCCAGCGGCGAAACAGGGCCGCGCATTGTCAGGTCCAATGAATCGCCTTTTGGTCGACGATGCCTGACCTTGCAAGAAGATGTGCAGGTCAGCTTTGGGAGTAGGCTTTTAGGCGTTACCATGCGACTGTTCTGCGTTGCACTTGTGAATGGTGCTACCGCCATTGTCGAGCATCCAGCACCGAATGAGGAGAGGCCAGACGAAGTTGCAATCTGGCGTACGGCCTTGATCCGTACACCACTCAGGTGTTCCCAAGGTGCTCACAGCAAAGGGTCCTTCAAGGCCACTTTGGCGCTAGGTCAGCAAAACCCACAAGTCTTCTGCTGGCAAACTGCGATGAATCTGCTGAGCAGATTCTTTTGAGTGCGAGGACTACAGCGCTCCCGCAGGAAGTCAGCATAGGCAGGAACAGCGAAGGTGGTTGGAAGACTGCTATCCTGAAAGAGTACCCCGCTGGTTTTTGTAAAGCGCTAGCGGCGGTGGTGGCAGTTAGCCAACCCGGCAATCCGAAATCAGATCCCATACCTAATTGGTTCATGGAGACGGTTGAACCTTTGCTTGCTTGTTTTAATGAGGAGGCAGAAATGGGACCAGATTTCGGAAACCGACAGCGAACGCATGAGTAATTAGTAATTAGATGCAATGCTGCTACAAACAGATGTCTAAGGCGTGTGCAGTAAAAAAAGTAGCCATTCTCTTCCACTTTACTGGGCTCGGAGTTCCCCGGCAAAGGTCCGTGTGTTTGAAGACCTGACATCTGACCAACGGTCGTTTCACCCAGAGCACCACCGTTGCACCACCGTTGCACCACCGCCTTGCCGCGGCCAAAGCGGCGTTCCCCAACAGAGAGCTGCCCCCGCATGTAGAGCAACCGGTACATCCACTCAGCAGAGGGCAGGAGCAGCGGGAGGTTGGCAGAGTACAGCTCGTAGAAGGACATGAGGGCCTCGGTCGTCTGGCTTCAGGCCAGCCAGGCGCTGTATATGTGTGAACTTGTATGCATTGGAACATGCATGTCATGATATGAGATGGCGGCCCTCTCATGTGACCATTTTGGCACAAGGGCCCTTGAGTCAGGCTCATTCGAGCCCCCGACGGTTGCGCAATGGAAAAGTGAGCGCACCGCTTGCTTTTGATCGTGACGGAGTTCTTTGATCCCCGTTGGTTGAGTTGTGACAGTTGCCTTTGCAAGTTGCTGTTGATCCTCCGCTCACCATTTTACATGGTAGCGGAGCTGCCAAGCTCCAGGATTGCTTTGTGAGGTCCCGGCCTGATCCCGGGGGCGGTGCAAACCGCAGAGCAGCTCGTGCCATCTAGGTACATTGCTTGTGCAGTGGTGCAAAGTTGACGTTGAGCATTGATTGTTGGTTGTTGACGTTGAGCATTGATTGTTGGTTGTTGACGTTGGTTGTTGAGCATTGAACATTGATTGTTGGTTGTGGAACATAGTTGTTTGTGTTGGCAGTTTGGGCCATGGACTACAAAGACACTCTCAAAGACCTCTACTTCGACGGGAAGCCAAGCGGATATCGTGAGTTCAGACGCAAGCTGATCCTTGGCGTTGCATCCCTTGAGGACAAACAACAACACCTGGCCGGTCCTAGAGTCCTCGGAAGATTGTCTGGCGAAGCTTGGAAAGCGACCGAAAACATTCCAATTGCTGACCTTCGATGTGAACAAGGCTGGCTACAAATTGTTCGGACGCTTGATCAGCATTATCGCTATTTGCCCGAGACCGAGCTCCATGAGGCCATAGATGAGTTCCTTTTTGGGTTGAAGCGGAAGGGACATGAGGGAGCCACTTCCTTCACATCCCGGTTCAAGACGAGTCTGCATCGCCTGGAAACGCTCATCTCACAGGAGCGTCAGCTGTCCAAGAAGCGACCGAAGTCCGCAGTCGAAGAAGAAAAGAACAAGGAAGATTCGAGTAGTTTGGAAGAGTCGGACGAACATGCCCTACCTCCAGACGATCCCAATGAACAAACAGATGAAACTGAACAAGATGTTGGAGATGAAGTCCGGCCAGAAGCCAATGCACCTCCTCCAGGTCCTTTTGATCCTCCCCTTGATCCTCATCGTCGGACCGGATCCACTCCATCGGTCCGAAGTGCGAAGTCGAGCTCAAAGGCTTCTCAGGGGAAGTCCACTGGGACTCAAAAAGGTCATCATTCGTTCAACAGGCGGCTCCAGTCGATTTGTGGACATTGAGAAGATTTTGCGTGCTAGTGACTATGAGGAGAGATTGGATGACCGGCGACCACGGCTGGACGATCGTCGACAGGTGAGACCACGACGCGCAGCCTATGCTGTTGAACAAGTTGCTGAAGCTTCATCCACCTCCATCGACCCACTTTCTGACTCCGGGTCTGGTGAAGAGGCCTACCAAGTTGAGGGCGGCGAAACATCTCTGGGTTCAGGTTCGGAGGAAGAGCTGCAGGAGATCTATGAGATTCAGAAGAAAGCAAAGAAAGAATTCAAGAAACAGTTTCGCACCTACAAGGAGTCCAAGAAGAAGGTGAGGGAAATCAAAAGAGCACGACAACCATACATGCCGGTGGTGGCCATTCCACCCACCGAAGGCGGCCAATCCCAGGCTCCACTGGGAACTCAGGCTGCATCGTCGAAAACACCACGCTATGAGAAAAGGTCCTTTGACAAGAAGTCGCCACAAAAGGATCCAAAGAAGAAACCACCGAGGCGTGAGGACGCCAACCTGACAGAAGCTGTGGAATTTGTTGACAGGACATTGACCGAGTTCAACTATGCCCTGACCGAGTCCACCGCTGCTGAACTGGAAATTCTCCTGGCCTCAATTCCATCGGGTTTTGCAATCATTGATACTGGTTGTACAACATCCGTTGTTGGCGAGGAAACAGCACAGAGATATGAGCAGGTTTTCAGACAATGCAATTGTCCTCCACCCGTGCGTGTCACAATGCCTACAGTTGAGCTTCGTGGCTTCAATGGTCAGAGCGAAACAACAGCTGTTGGTTTGAAGTGGACAGTACAGTTGGGTTCGTTGAAAGGGAATATCACAACATATGTTGTTCCTGGAAGCGCGCCGTTCCTGCTGTCACGAAGGGTGTTGGAGGGTATGCAGGCCACACTGGACTTGGGCCGAATGACCATCACGAGTCCAAAACATGGTATGCAAGATGTACCCCTGAAACAGGCCGCCAATGGCCATCTGCTGTTGTCTCTGGTACCACAGGTTGCTGAGTGGGAGACAGTCCTCAACGACTCGAATACAAATGAGCCCAATCCGCATGAAGCCCAAGCGATGGACCGCCAGTCCATCTCCGTTGATCTCGAGCACCACCAAGACCTCAGAGGACAGGACACGAACAAAAACAGTGTTTTAAGTGCACCAAAAATGGAGCCAACCCCGTGTGATACCCGGAGGGCGTTTCAAACTGTTTGTAAACATACCAAACGAGGAAACGTCGATTGCAGTGTTTTTCGTGCCGAGCTGTCCCAATTGTTTTCATGTCCCGAACACCAGGTGGTGCATGCCTATGTAGCATATAAACCTAGACTAGAAAGGATTCCTGCCGAAGCCGAACAAACTTCACTTGATATGAATGTAGTCTCTATGGATAAAGATGGAAACATGCACATGTCAGGATGGATCGTTCGTCCAGCCGGACGGGTCAGAAGACCTGTCAACCCAATGCAGGTTGCGATCTTTGCATTTCGATCCGAGCAAGCACCCTCTGAACCTGAGAGTGCCGGCAGTGAGTCCGATCGTGTCGAACCAGCAGAGCCGACGCCATCAGCGCACCAATGTGATTGTTGTTGTAATGATGACATAGAAGGGGATTGGGAATACACCAGGCAATCAAACACCCTCGAAACTTTGTATGAAGAGGTTGACTGGGTAGATCTTGACTTGCAGGATGTTCCAAAAGAAACCCAAACGAAACTGAAAGACGCAATCACAGCTGCACGCCGTGTCAGTGTACGCATGGCTTTGTCGCGACTGCAGAGCAATCGGCAGGAAGTGCTTTCAGAACTTCGCCACTGGTTGGGCAACCAGGCTAGTAAACTCGACTCCAAGGTTGGACTCATAGAAGTTTTCACAGGAACAGCCAATCTGTCCAAACAGTTCGAAAAGAGAACCCAGAAAACAGCAATCCAAATTGGGATAGATTATGGACAGGATCTTGGTAGGTTGAGGGATAGACGAAATCTCCTATACCTGGTAGCCTTGACAAAGCCTGATCACATTTGGTTTGCTCCCCCATGTAAATGCTGGGGTCCATGGTCGAGGTTCAATATGGCATTTTCCGAGTCTAGGAAACAAGAAGTATTGAAAAAGAGACATCAAGCTAGAAGACATCTGCAATGTGTTTCGGAAACATGGCATCTCCAAACCATCCTTGGAGGTCATGCACATGCTGAGAATCCGTACTCGTCCGATATGTGGCAGGAGTTAGTGCTTGGACCAGCCTGGTCAATCCGAATTGACCAATGTGCACTCGGGCTCCGTAGCCCCAAATCCAACATCCCTGTCTTGAAGCCAACTCGGATTGTCAGCACTCAGGAGTCTTTGATGCAGCACCTTGTCCCATTTCGGTGCGATCATAAGCATGGTCATGATCATCTAGAAGGAAACTACAAAGGTAGAAATCTGACATCCTGGGCCGAGACATATCCTAATAAGTTTGCACGTGTCATGGCCGATGGTCTTGCCAAAAGTCTCCATGGACATTCTGGTCCAGATGCAGTAGAGATCTTAGCTCAAGATGAAGAAGAAGATCAACTAGAAGAAGAGATAGAAGATCCATCAAGAGAGACTGCCAGACCATGACGAGCCAAATTCGAACAGCCGAAGTTTGAATCCCAAGCAGCTGCGAGTGTCCGCATTGGTTCGTAAATTGCATGTGAACACAGGTCATGCATCGACAGAACAAATGTTGAGGCTCGCGAACCGTTGTCAAGCCAGTCAGGAAATTGTGGACTGCATTCGGAACTTCCAGTGTCCCATTTGTAATGAACTCAAGCCTCCACCGTCATATCGTAAGAGTGCAATCCCCCATGCAGAGAACCCGAATGACATAGTGGGTATTGATTTTGTTCAAGTAGAACTCAAAAGAGAGGGACGTAATGGGAAAATGACCGAAGTCAAGTTCAACGTGTTGACATGTGTTGATATGGCCACCGGCTTCGCACAACAGATCATCGTTGAACGCGGTCCCAATCAGCTGTCAGTAGCTTTCCATAAGGTGTGGGCACGTCCCTACGGCACTCCTAAGATAATATTCATGGACCCTGCCAAGACTAATCTCTCCCAGGATTTCCAAGAGTATTCAACACACCATGGCATTCAGTTGTTGCATGCGGCTGCCGAAGCACACTATCAGCTAGGTCAAGTTGAAATTGCCAATCGCATTCTCAGGAACATGGCCAATCGTTGTTGGCCAGGCACTGACCGTCCACCAGAAGAGGTAATAGAAATGTGTGCAACAACCCGTAATGAACAACTTCGAAAGCATGGTTTCAGCCCAGCACCATGGTTCTTTGGAAGGGACTCACGCCATGTGGGAATGCTTGCCGACTTGGATGAGCAAAGAAATTTTGCTGCCCAGTCGCAAATCCTGTCAGATCCGTCTTTTGCGTCCAAGATTCGCCTTCGTGAAGAAGCGGCCAAGGCCTTTCATGAAGAACATGCGAAGGATGTTTGGCGAAGAGCTGTAGCCTATAGACATCGTCCCATGCGAGGACCATATGTACAAGGACAACTTGTATACATGTTTCGAGCCGCAGGAAGAGGTCAGCTTAGCACAAGACATGGTAAGTGGTTAGGACCTGCCAAAGTAATTGGGGTAGAAAGTTCATCAAATAGTCCCATACCACGCCTTGTTTGGACCAGCTATAATGGCTATCTCTATAGATGTCGACCAGAAGGCCTCCGTCCAATGTCCGAAGACGAAACTGAGTTTCGAGCGCTTGCAAGAGAACTTGCATTAGGCCAGCTGGCGCCGGAAACGGAAGCTGCAGGTAAATCATTGTCGGAGGGCGTCGCTCGTTTTCATGATCTCACAAAAGACATCCCTGGCCCAGAGGACTTCGAACTCAAGGAAGATGTAGAAGCCGAACCTAATCCGGAGACCATCGATGACAGACCAGATTCGGAGGGTAGACCACATAAGATAAGACGTAGGTTCTATCGTTCCCCTGAATACTGGCAAAAGAGATCACGAGGCGAGATCCCACCTCTCGGCAGTATGCATGAACATGAGTTGAATCAGCAGCCATTTGCCGCTGTTGCTCCTGAAGAGATCCCCGAGGATAGACTTGAGCCAGCCGATAAGCGTAGAAGGGTTGTTGAAATTGATTCATCTCCAAGTTATGCACCCACCGAACCGCCAGTTCCTCTTGAAGAAGAGGGATCTCAGTCAGGCTTTCAAATGCACAACGAGCTTGATGAGCTCATGCCTGACCCAGGTGCTGTACCTACACACCTGGAACCAGAGACAGACGCTAATCCGCCCGAATCTGATAGACCCGATAATACCGATGAAGTAATGCCTGAAGTAGACTCACGATCACACGAGATCGAACCATCTGGCATAGATGTTCCCGTTCCAGAAGCTGGTGAAGACGAACTAGCGGTAACAGCCAGATTGCAGCAGGCAGAACATGTGTTCGAACTTTCCTTTGACGTCCATCCCGAAGACATCACCGAAAATCCTCTGTGTCTCTGGAATCTTTTTGAAGATTGCTTGCAAGCTGCGCCGCAGTCCAAGGCGAAGCAAAGAAGGGTTGAAGTCCAGTTCCGCAAACTCAATCCACACGACAAGAAACTGTTTCTCCAAGCTGTGCAAAAAGAATGGCAAAGCTGGATTGACAATAAGGTGACTTCACTTTGTAAGGCTAGAGGGATTCCTACAGAAAGAATAATCAGAGCAAGATGGGTCTTGGTATGGAAAAAGTCATCCGATCCTGATATCACTTCCAAAACTCCAAAAGCACGTCTAGTTTTGGTAGGATGGCAGGACCCGGACCTAGGAAAAGTAGCAACAGACAGTCCAACTTTGCGTAAGGAAACAAAGCACCTTGTTTTATCCATTTGTTCAGCATCCAAGTGGAAGCTATGGGGAGCCGACATAAAAACAGCGTTTTTGTCAGGTGATGAATCTTGCAGAAACATTTACTTTCGACCTCCAGCAGAGATCAAACAATGGATGAACTTGAGTCCAGATGACCTGTTTCGTCTTGAGAAGGCTGCCTACGGCCTGGCTGAGGCACCACGTGCCTGGTTTTCCTGCGTGACTAGGGAACTTAAGGAAGCAGGGCTAACCCAGAGCCAGTTGGATCCATGTTTGTTTATGTTGAGAAGTAAGTCCGATAACACTTTGAAGGGCATATGTGGAGTACACGTAGATGACCTACTAGGTGGAGGTTGCAAGGAAATGGACCAAGCCTTGGACCGACTCCGAAAGAAATTGCCGTTCGGTGACTATCGTACTTTCACAATAAGATATACAGGAGTAGAGATTCGACAAAATCCAAATACGATGAAAATTGAAGTAGGACAAGAAAATTACATCGAGAATTTGGAACATGTTGAAACGAAGACTTTGGGAAACGCTTCAACGTCCCTTACAGATCCTTCTATCCTTAGAACTTGCGCCGGTCAGTTAGCCTGGGTGTCGAACTCGACACGTCCAGAACAGGCATTCCTGGCTTCGTATCTTCAAGGGGTTCAGGATAAGGGGAAAGTTGAACACGTCCACTTGTACAACAAAGCCGTGAGGGAAATGAAAACTAGAAAAATCTGTTTGAAATTCCCTAGCCACGTTCCAGTAAAAGATTGGCATATCGTGTGTATTGCTGATGCTGGCTGGTGTACTAGAGCTAACGGTGAAAGTCAAGGTGGATACATCCTATGTCTTACGACCAAAGACATCATGAAGAACAAGGAATCCCCTGTATGGATAATAGATTGGAGTTCTAAGAAGTTACGACGAGTAGTTCGTTCCTCAGTAGCAGCAGAAACCATGTCCGGTCAGAATGGACTTGATGCGATTGAGTGGATTCAATCTCTGCTTGCTGAGATCCTAGAAGGCCAATCGCCTCGAACCTTCCGAGAACGAGTCCCAGAAAAGACAGCATGCCTCGTTGTTGATAGCAAGGGTTTCTTCGATGCAGTCACAAAATCGTGTAGCTCTCCTACTATTAGCGTAGAGAAGAGACTTCAGATCGACTATGCCATCGCTAAGGAAAGCATGTCCTTGCAGAACATCATGGTCTTTTGGACTAGTAATATTTTCATGTGTGCAGACGTGTTGACTAAACTACGAGCCGACACAGGACCTTTCTATAAACTCGTTGACACTTGGAAATACACCATCCACACCGGAGTAGAGTCAGGTAAGAAAGAAAAAGCCAAGGCTAGAGCTGCAGAAGCAGAGAAACGTCAACTAGATGAGCACTAGGGCCCATGCATGCATGTTGTGAAGTGAATCCAACATTTGCTTGGTGAAACTTAAAAAGAATTTGTTAGTTAGGTTGAGAAACCATCCATTGCCAGCCACCTCGAACCAGTTCGTTGCTGAGGAGTCGTCCTGGTTGTTTTTCTCATTTTTCTTGTGCCGCATCGGTTAAACCGAATTTTGCACAGCCTTTTTGCTCCAAGGAGCGCGCGACCGTGAAGTGTCGCCCATTCAGTCCCGCAGGATCATGTCGAAAGCAGCAAAGACCGATGATGAAGAATACCACATCCGGTCACCACTGACGGATCAGGACCTTAGCATGTGTGCCAGCCTCCTCCATCGAGCTGTCCGCTTCGGACAAAGTGCACAGTTGCTCCAGCGTGTGAACGACTGGGTGAAGATTCGTCCAGATCTCCGACCAAATGTTGTGGGAGCCCAGGTCATTGTGGATGCCTCCATGTCCACCATGACTGATGCTGCGAAGCGACGCATGGATGCCGATGAGACCTCTCAGGCCTCGAATCCGTGGGAGCTCTTGAATGCCAATGAGCCTACCGGTTCAACCATGACACCGGAGCGCCTTGCTGTGAGCCCGAAGGGATATGAAGCTGGAAAGGTGAATTTGTTCCCAGCGGCCAATGTGACCGATCGCTTGGTTCCCTTGCCTGAAGGAATCAGCACCGTAGAGAAATGGGGACAGACCATCTGTCGTATGGACAAGGTGAAGGCTGAAAGCCTCACGTATGATCAAATGATCATGACGGCCCGCACGAATTCGAAGAAAGGAGAAGACATGCGTCAGTACCTCCAGTTCATTTTGTCAAAGTATGGTACTGGTGGAAAAGTGCCATCCAAGATTGCCAAGGCCGTGGACTTTGCCATGTACCTTGAAAAGGTGAAATGGAAGAAGCCTGATTTTGAAGCTCTTGCTGAGAAGTACGGATTCAGCCGAGAGGTGCGTGACTGAACAGTGCCGCTGACAGCATGGTCCCATCTTCGCACCGCCATGAGGGCGTGTGAATTTGTATGCATTGGAACATGCATATCATGATATGAGATGGCGGCCCTCTCGTGTGACCATTTTGGCACAAGGGCCCTTGACTCAGGCTCATTCGAGCCCCCGACGGTTGCGCAATGGAAAAGTGAGCGCACCGCTTGCTTTTGATCGTGACGGAGTTCTTTGATCCCCGTTGGTTGAGTTGTGACAGTTGCCTTTACAAGTTGCTGTTGATCCTCCGCTCACCATTTTACAATATGTGTCTTTACTTTCCTTCGGGGAACTTTGGGCCGCTCTCTTTCTGTATTGTGAAGTTCTTGTTCCATGATGTATATTCTTTTATGAAAGGAGGCTCTGGAAGTCGAGTCGAGTCGAACCTAACGTGACCCCGACCCCGCGGTCGACCACGTGACTACCGATTCCACCGATTCACCGGGTGACTTGTGATGCACATCCTCGGCCCTTGGTGTGTCCATTTCATCATCCCGAATCACAGACTGGCGAAGGACCCCTGGACAGGGCGGTGACAGAGATCGCCACAGGAGCAAAGTGTAAGACCAGGTGGGAGGTTTGCCAAAATTGTTCTTGGACGCCCAGGCACATGATCCTGTGGCAGCAAGGCCGCGGCACGGAAGCTCACCGCCTGCATGTTCATGTGTCTTTGTCAATTTGTACCCGTCCATTGGGAGATTCCACACAGATCATGTGCCAAATTGTCTAAGTACCCTACCAAAGATCACAACCACACACCCCAAACAGCAAAAGCTTTTTGTGGGCAGCACTACCTGAAGGAAGAACTCCGATGTCTCGCTATCTCGAGGATGCCACGGGCTCTAAGTCGAATCCCATTCTCCTTCCTAGCCGCAAGTCGAAGCTGCATGAGGCTCTGCCAGTTGGAGCCCCATGGGGTCTCCAACTGAGGATGATGCATCACATGCACGACACTAAAGGATCAACCCAAAACCTACGCGCTGGGAGGGCCTTCAATGGAGCCATGCACACCCCTTATTGGAGCCAACTCAATGGAGCCATGCTCAGTTTAGCTAGCTCTCCTGCTGCCCAGCGCAACAAGCCCTTTGTTTGCAAGCCACGGAACGCGCTGGCAGGATCAACGGTACAGCTCTGACGAAAGGGAACATGTCAAATGTCAAACAGTTATAGCAATGATATGTGCATTATATACATATATAAATAAATAGATATATGCATATACTGTTATAGTTTTAGTGTTATACATATATATATATATACAGTAAATAATATATACATATACATACCAGCACCTTCCAACAAGTCACCACCTGCGCCTTTTAAGTCTACCAAAGCCTCCAGAGGAGACCTGTTGGAAGGTGCTGGTGTATATATATATATATATTTGTGTGTGTGCGTGCACATTCTTATGCTAAAGGTTTCCTCTCTACGAAGTTTGTCAACCAGTTACCTTGCCAACAAGTTATGTTTGGAACGTTTTGTACTCCATCTAGGACGCATCAATGTTGAGGACGCATGTCTCGCGTGATTTGTTGCTCTTTGTGGCCGACCTGCGCGCCAACCCTCACACAGCAAGCGCCTTCTTGTAGGGCACACTTTCACTCCCCTGAAGGAAGTAGAAGTTCAGAGGATACTGCGGAAGGCCTGGCTCCACTTGGCTTTCAAGAGAGGACAGCTTCAAGGTCTAAATGGTCATGTCAGATCATTCCCATCACTTCCGTTGAATGTTCATCCCCAAACGAAACGCATCGGGCAGAAACCGCGTTGTTCCCCACGTCACTTCGGGTGGGAACTCCAAAGATGCAAAGGCCTTCCAGGAACCGAGCGATGGCACAGCGCAAGGTGGCCTCAGCCCACAAAGACATAGTCCGGCAAAAACTCAGCTGGAACCTCATGAAAAACGGGGCTTGCGATAGACAAGCCTTCCCATCCAAGACTATCAAGGGGGCAAATGTGGACTCTTGCTTCACTTCGCGCACATGGATGTTTTGAGTCTTGGCACGAACTTGAATGGCTTGCTTGGACTTCCTGGTGTTTCACCTTGGAACTTGGATCTTGTTGGGTCCGCTCCGCGCACCGCGCACCTGCCGAGACCTGCGCACTCGCGGATCGCGCGAAGCGTCGCCCCCTTCGGCTCGGTGCGGCACATAGGCAAAGAGCGGAGACCTGGCGATGGAGATCGGTCGCGTCCCGGGGTCGCGTCCCGGGTCGGGTCTGAGAGTCGAGTCGGTGGGGATGGAGCATCCAGCGGTCTTCTGATCTTTTACATATGGAATTGGGCGTCCTTGGCCGTGGATCTTGTACTACATACTTGACAAAGATGTGGTTGGACTCCCCTCTATCTTCAGAAGTTTGATGGTGGGGCATCCAGAGGATTCTGCCCGGCTTTGCCAGCAAGAGGGCAGAATACATACTTTACAGATGATATTGATATAGAATCTTCGAATCTTCAGAAGTTGGAAATCATAAAATCATATTGCCATGTGGATGTCAAGTCGGATCAGAAGTTGGATGGAATGATCCAGAAGTAAACTGTTGGGTTAGAAATCACTCAGGTTCAGATGGTGCCCATCTCTGCATCCCATGAATGTTGCATTGGTCCACACTCCCCGCATAGCGTCCCTACGTCCAAGATTCGGATGTTCTCAAGATGGATAAACCTCATCTTCCTCAAGCGTTCGAAACTTCACTGGCGGACGTCTTTCCAATCTCTGCCTGAGGGCCCATCGTCTCATCGCTCTTTTCCGCGCTCCATTCGGAGGCACGGAGCGCGCTAGTCGAAGGCGACATCGCGCCACTTCCTCGAAAATCCAAGATTGAGACCTCCATCTCCATAAAAGGCAACCAGACAAATCTGGCAGCGCACCAAATTTGAAAGCCTGATGATGCCTGATGCATATGTACAAGATCATGTCTTGGACATGATTGTGCCAGCACGCATGATGCTTCAAAGAATCAAGATGTTGTTTTGCGAAAAAGTGCGTCACCTCAGCGCCCACATCCACCCTTCTCTGAAGGATCAAACAAAATTCTCCCATCCTGTTATTGAATGCATGACAGGGAACCAGATGTTCTTTCCCATCCAGAATCCATGAGTTCTCCAAGATCAAGTTTTTGGGTATGTTCATTTGTCATGTGGCCAGTTGTGCTCGGACATTTCACAACGTCTTGGCACGTGGCATCGGCTGCGCTGAAAAACACAAGGTCCACTGTCAACCACACTACTTCACCGGGCTTAGTTTTGTACTGGGTTCACCCAACAATGATCCGGAATCAAAGTGTTGCCATTTGGCATCCGATTTTTTGATTGCACAATTTTGGGCGAAGGATACATGGTTGTGGATCAACCATTAGGTTCCACGGATCCGCTACCAACCAGGCATATCGAAGGTTGCATGTTTGACGAAATGTTTTTACAACTGAAACGGTTGTGGTTTGCAGTTTCATGTGCCCGCCCCACGACATATAGTTGGCTCCTAGTCCAAAACCTGGCCTGCCTGACAATAACCGTTTCAGCCTGGTGTGAGTGCGCGACTCGAAACAAAACCATGTGTTGGTCGAAAAGGACATCCTTTTCACTGAAATGAACCACTCTTGAGGCTACATTAGGCCGTCGAAAACGTGAACAGAACACGCGAACATGTGCACATGCGACTACATGGCTATGCGGCTATGACAACAATTGGTGCCTTCCACATTGGACAAAGCCGTTTTTTCTATCGTCAGGAAGCTCCACTAATGCCTATAGGATATGTTCGAACATCTGGAAAGTGTCGATGTGGCCTGTCTTGAAAAAAGTGGACTGCTGTGCACTTGACCAAGCCGGTTTCCTGTACATGTCCTGTTCTCAAACCTCCACCTGATGGGGGCATCTCCATCCAACGGAACAAGAGCGGGCGTGATGCACATAGCAATATGCTCGCTCGGCTTGCCCTCCACTTACAGGTATCCATCCCAAGAGTCCATAGCTGGTTAAAGCCGATGTACTATCTTTCCACATCCTGAAGGACTTGCCTCACCTCTTCCCCAAGGCCACAGCCTTCAGCTGAGCCACTTGGCTCTGCAACTGCTGTGCCGCTGCCGCCGCGCGGGACTCAAGGGCCTGGGCACCACCAACAGCGGCAGCAAGGAGCCCATGTCGGAGACCTCACAGTCCGATCAGTGTCAGCTGAGGGGGTGGCCGCCAACACACTTGGACTGATTGGGCCAGGACTGCACCACCAAGGCTGCAAGGACTGATTTCTGGGACGATCACAGCAAAGGTGCTTCGTCGACTCTAGAAGCGTGTCCCGTCTGGGTCACCAAATGCACCTTGAGCCCTTCACTTCCAAAGAAACCCCCCTGGCAGTCCTGAACCTCGGCCAGTCCTGAACCTCGGACCACCGGAAAAAAAAAAAGCAGGCTCCTGCGGATTGGAAATTGCTTCGGACTCACTTCGGGTGTCCCTCACCCGGGCGACCGCCTGGCGGGCGCGGAGCTCGCCCGCGCGTTTCGCGCGCGGACGCCGCGGGCGCCTGTCGGAGCTCGGGCGGCGCCTGCTGCTGCGCCAGCACGGCCGGAAAGCGCCTGGGCGACATCGGCTGAGGAGGTGGACCCCAAAACCACTGGGTTGTACAGGAAAAGGGTCTTCCAGGGGTCAATTCTCTGCCGGGAGGGCAGCTGTTAACGAGCTACACTTTCATCAGATTGAGGACTCCTCCAATTGGATCAAATCTGAACATCCTATGTCGACCTTCTGGAGACAACTCCGAATTCGACACTTCCACACGTTCCGTGCCCCAAAATACTTGCGCCGCAAGCAAGCAAGCAAGCAAGAAAGAAAGAAAGAACGCGGCTCCACTTCGCAGCCGAAATTGTTAGGTCGCGTGGCTGCATGTAAGGGAAGGTGGTCATTGCAGCATAGAGCACTGAGCGTTTGGAGACCTCCAGGAATCCCGCAGCATCCGGGAAGCCCACCTGGCAACGGCGCAGAAACGCAATGGAAGAGCTGCGTCCTTCTTCACATGATGGGGGCTCACATTCCATGTTGGTTGGCGGAAGTTCCAAAACGGTTTGACTGAGAGGACTGATAGGAATCCAATTACTGTATGAAAAAACTAAGTTAATGGTTATAAGTTATAAGTTAATGGGCCTACAGCGTCACAATCGACTTGAACGTACAGAAAAAGGATGAAAAAGGTTGAACCCTGACTTTAAACTATGCCCTTCTGCTCTGTAGGCAACTCCCATGGATGGCCCGCTTCCTACCAAAACTCCCTCATTTCAATGTCAGGTACCTTGGGAGGTCTCCTTGCACGGGAGAAACCCGGCCGACTGTCCTGCACATCCAAGCCACCAACTCCATCGTTTGTGGCTGCGGCTGCCATGTCAGCTCCTTCTTCGGTGAGGTCACCGGGCTTTGCTCTCTTTTGGAGCTCGAGGGCGAGACCTTGGAAATAGCACGCTCGCCCAAGGCCCCTCCAACAGAAACTCCCTATATTCCTCATGATCCTCATGCCAAAACGCCGGCCGCTGACCCAAATCAGGAGCCCCAGCGCCCTCCACCCCCACCCCCCAAACCCAACCCCGCCTGTAAATCGAGCTCCTCCTCGCTGGCATCGGACCTCCGCACCCCTCTCACCATGGGACGTCTCAACAGCCCCCGCGGGCCACTGGGCGCCGTCGGATGCCATTCGACGGCGGGAGCCGCCGCTGTGCTGGCGGTGGCGGGGGGTGGAACTTCGTCACCAGGCGCACGAGCGTCACCAGGTGCGTTCTTGGCGCTGTCCATGCGCATCAGGATGCCTTGCTGGGCGAACAGAGGTGGAGAGCGCAGCGAGAACGGAGAGAACACCCGAATCCCGAGGTGTGCCTGATCTGTAAAGACCTGATAAAACCTCATAAAGTTTCTTTTCAGCTGCGTCTGAGGCACTCTGCACACTCTCCCGCTCTTCACGTGTCTCCTCCAAGGTGTCCACACCCTCTAGGTGCGTCTTCAGCTCCCTCAACCGGCTGTGGCGCTTGCCTTCTTCGTCAGCCCTCGGCTTGGGCAAGGTGAAGCTGGCGCTCTTCCGCAGTTGATCTCGAAGATCCTCCACCTTGTGCCTGAGAAAAAGGAAAAACGACTTACCCGATGGGGAAAACCCGCGAAGAAGATGCCCCTCGGGTGAAGCTGCCGTTGGGAGATGTTTCTGCAGCCCCGAGCGAAGAGATCGAACAGTGAAGCTCAAAAGCACCATCTTTCTTACACTCTGACTCACTCACTAACATGGAGGAACTGGAAGTGGAGATGATCCCTTGGAAGACGACTTTCCTTTGAGAACAGAAGGTCGGAGCCAAGACGGGATACAGTATGTGGCGCACGGCCAGGGGGACCCCATCGCGCGACAAAGGAAATGAACAGTTGCACCATTTTGGATGATGCTGACATGCTTGACACACCAGGTTGCCCATCATTGCTGATCCCTTCGTATATGCTTCCCACAAGCACCGTCGCACCGTTTTGTGACGAATGTGGGACGACCTTCGGCACCTACATGCGTCCCCTGCCAAACTGGCCAAATGTTGGACCGACCCAGGGCCATGCACCAGTACGACACTCTGAGGCTGGGGGATCAAGAGCAGAGTCTCCTCCTCTCACCCAGCTGGGGCGTACGGGTGAGACTCGACAAAGCAGGCAGGTTGCATGATGCCATCCAACAAGTTCTCAATCTCCACATCATCCATCCCAAGCCTCAGACGTGCGGCACAAGCACATCATCCCCACATCCGGCATCCAAAATACCCGGTGCCCACCCCCTCGAGGGCGAAGAAAAAGGGGTCAACGAACCGGGGTGCGGCATCCGTCTGAGATGCCGATAGCCACGCAGGGCCACGCAGGGCCACCTTCGATCACCTGATTTCAGTCTTGGGCTGGGTCGTGCCAAATTGGTACTGCTTTGTAAAACGGGTAGAGGCGAAGTCAAACAATATGATCGAAGGAGGGCATTCCACAGCATCTGCCCAAACGTATTCTAGCGACGAGGACATGATTCAACCAAATTGTTGCTGAGGGGGGCCTAACGCACCTCGGACATCGACTTCTTAGGTGATTGTGAACAAATTGAGCCATGCTGGAGGTGGTTTCTCGGTGGCTTTGGTGTCCCAACTTCAGACCCCCTCGAGTTTCGCGGCCCGGACGCTGCTCT